TAGATAGATAGATAGATAGATAGATAGATAGATAGATAGATAGATAGATAGATAGATAGATAGATAGATAGATAGATAGATAGATAGATAGATAAACAACTAATCTTGATCTTCTACTTTTCATTCAGAGACCAATGAGCGTACCCTCATCAGACAGTCAAAATGCACCAGTTTTTCACAACGTCACTGACCTTTCTGACCCTGTCTGCACTAGCCAGTGGTAGCCGACCGTACCTACCCCCAGAACTGGAGAACTCCGTTAAAAAATTGATCCAGACAGGGATGAACAAACCCCGGATTATTGAAAGTCTTGCGCACATTGCCAGAAGGAAGCTCATGACTTTCAGCGGCGACGCTGGAGGGACGGACAGTAGGGTGAATCAAACAGAAGGGGGTGGAAATTTGAATCATGTCGGGAGTGATACAGGAGGTGATTATTTTTATTACCTCGACAACTCCGACTATGAGTTACCACCAGACGATAGATCGTTTACGTGCATGGTTGACATACTGTCGTATGAGGAAGGTTTAAGGTCGGGCCACACTTGGGCTTTGTCCATGGTGGACGCAACGGGAAGTCCCGGACCAGGGCTGTTACGTCATCAGTTCCACTGGCTCGGACAATACAGTGAGTGCAAAGAGGTCAAAGCCACCATCACCACCCAAAGCAACAGCTCGGAGAGTTCTGGTTCTGACCACCGTGACGTCATGTTTACCGGTCGGTCCTGTCTGGTAATCCACGTCCCTTCGGTGGACGGGGTACCCCGGGTGGGGGAAGGGCGAGAGAGTATGTGGGAAGTGTGCATGCCCAGCTCGTGTGACGGTCCAGCTCTCGTGGATCTGTTCAACGAGGTTCTCGCCTCCTTCAACCTGTCCTCTTATCTTACCGTGGTGTACAGTGTGTGTGGAAGTGACGGCGGAGATGATGGGCAGCTGATGGAGGAGTCTATCCCTCCCGTCGTATTCGTCCTGGTACTTCCCATTGTTGCTGTGATTGTGGCGACTCTAATGGATTTCCTCCTCGATCCCAGTGGAAAGTTACAGAAAAAACGTGTAGACACCGCTTCAAACAAAGTCTCTGGAACTCCCTCAAGCAGTGCAAAGGAAAATCCTTCAAGCAGCATTAAGGAACACCCTTCAAACAACGCAAAGGAAAATCATTCAAACAACTCAACTCAGGACATAGCCGTCCTGCCACTCAGCTACATGCGCAAAGGAGAACAGCTGTCAGTTAGTGAGGAAAATAAAGACACTGACCAAGAAGTGCCTTCTATGAATACGAACAAAGTAGATATCGCAAAGGTAGGACCTTCTACGAATAAGGACAAAATAGAGTCTTCCACGAATACGGGAAAAGTAGATATCGCCAGTGTCGTACAGTCTAAGAATGCGGACAAAATAGATATCGTCGAGGTAGAAGTTTCCAATAGTGAGGGAAAATCGTCAGACACTTTAGACGAAGAAGTTTCAGCTAGCAAGGACACGTCAGACATAAAACAAGTAGGGCCCTCCGCGTCCGCGAAATCAGACGAGGAGTCTGGAACAGCAGCCATGAACGACTTGTCCTCTCCGAAGACGTCCAGTAAGCAGCAGACGACACTGATGACGTCAGAGTCAGAACGCGGGACCTGTGAGACGGGGATACGTGCCAGGCGCGACAATTTGTTCCTGCGACTCCTGCTCTGTTGGTCTCTGAGACCCAATGTCCGTTCCCTGCTGGCCACGACTCACTCCCAGGGCAGTCTGCAATGTGTTCACGGTGAGTCTTTGCCTAAATGTCTGTATTCGTTCCTGCATTATGTAGTCTAAAACAGCCTTATGCACTGCTCACAGTCGAAAGCTCCGTATCCCGGACTCTAGCATGGAGATCATCAGGAGAGAATGCGTCGCCGTTTCGGGCTCTTCCTCTCTTCAGCTTTTTTGACGCACCGAGCCCCCTCACCGATGTGAGGTCTGCTTGCTAGTCTGACTTGTTTTCCTCTGCTGTCAACTCTTTGGATTCATTCCAGCCTGCGTCCTCTCTCTTCAACCAGATCTAGTGACTAGCTTTCTCTACTGTCTCGTGAAGGGAATTTATGATTTCCTTACTTTTCTATGCAGTAAGTCCTTCCACTCTCTTCCATTTTCGGATGCTAGTTGCTACGAAACCTCTGCAACCAACCTCTACTGGAAAGGGAGTTGCTTTCCAACCTGCCTCCTCACATTTTTCGACAAGCACCTCATGCCATTTTCTTTCTGCTCATGTGCAGCATTGATGTTGTCTTCGTGGGACATCGTGAGTTCCACCAGGTGCACCTGTTTCTTTTTTTCCTCCCATAACACCACTTCTGACATTTTTTGTTGTTGGGATGGGGAAGAATCTCTCGAAGTCCTTTAAGTCTGCCGCTACCGTGTGTTCCTTGCTGGCCACAACTCACTCCCAGGGTAGTCTGCATTGTGTCCACGGTGAGTCTTTGACTTATGTTTTTGTTTCTGGTAAGTTAGTGTTTTACGGCGTTCGCAACTGCATAATACCATATGAGCGAGCGGGACACATTAATTAAGTATTTTCAGTTTGGTTGGAATTAATTTTGAATTTTGCTAGAATGACGTCGAAGCCTATTCGTATCGGTTTTAGGACCACCAAGGGATTTTTAACGTGCGCGACTTGCACGCGGGACCTTTTTTCACCCTTGTTGTTAGATCTCTTGTAACACCAGTAATCATCGGCATTTATACTACATAATTATTTTTCGGCGCTTATATGACCTTATTGTGTTGCAAGTGCCGTGCACTTTTATCAAAAGTAAAAGAAATAATAATATGTCATAAATTAAGTTGCAAGTGTCGTAAAACCTCTAAAGCACATAATATGCACATTAAAGACACGCTTCAAACTGAGAGACACACTTATACACACACACACACACACACACACACACACACACACACACACATACACACACATACACATACACACACACATACACACACACGCACACGCATACGTACATATAATCAAACTCATATAACCACACACACTCACACGCACACTTACACACACTCGAATACTTCACACAAAAAAGATAATGCTGTTTATTCTCATTAAATACGACTTGCACACAATACGCATATTAGTATACAGATTTACACACTCTTGACCTCAAGCATACCTACACATGCGCTTTAATTTACACATCACACATAGACAATCACACACTTGTACTCACTCACAAACACACACACACACACACACACACACACACACACGCACACACAGAGAGAGAGAGAGAGAGAGAGAGAG